ACACAGCCCATGGACCACACAGCCCATGGACCACACAGCCCATGGACCACACAGCCCATGGACCACACAGCCCACTGAGCCAGCAGCCCACCGCCCATGCCCCGCCGCTCTGGGCTGTGTGTGCACGGCAAGGAAAGGTGTCCTCGTCCGGAGACAGGCACACATTGCGTGCCACATGACAACCTTGCCTGCAATGCCCAAGAGCCGAGCCCGACCTGCAGCAGACGAGGGGCCCCGTGGCGATGCTGTGCGGGCATCAGGAATAAAACAGCAACGCCGCTTCATCACGGCAGCACCGCCTACCCTGAACGCCCTCAGAGTGCACGGGGTGCCCAGACCCCACGGCAGCCCTGCCCCCATGTAGATCCCCGTGGCCCCTCCACGCGTCCCCTCCGGCGCCCCCCAGCTGCCCCCTGTCTCGGGTGCCGACCCCAGCCCTATGCTGGGCCTGTCCAAACGCACGGCGGGCCATTGAAAACAAAACAACAACAACAAAAAACACAACCAGCCATTGTCGGCCGCCTGGTTCTGGTGCCAAGAAGCTGTCAGGGGAGCCTTGCTATGCGTTTAGCAATGTTAATAGTTACTGGAGCTCTTTATGCCATTTTTTTTCCCATGTGTTTTTTGTTTTTTTGCTGCGCCGATTCTTTTTGCACGTTTGCCGCTTCAGCATAAAGGCAAAAAATAAAAAACAACAACATAGAAAAACTTCAGAGCAAAAACTGCAGTGTCCCTGTGATGAAACGCAGAGGCCGAGTCAACAAACGCACGGCACTCACAGCACCAACGCAACAACCAACACAGCAGCGCCAGCTCGCTCAGCGCGGCCCACAGCAGCCCTGCACAGCTCCTTCAAGGGCCTGCGACCAAGCAGCGCCACAACGGGAGGAAAACTTAAAGCACAGCACAGCAGCAAACCTGCACAACTCAGAGCTGCAGAGCTCAGACCTGCAGAGCTCAGACCTGCACAACTCAGAGCTGCAGAACTCAGACCTGCAGAACTCAGAGCTGCAGAGCTCAGACCTGCAGAACTCAGACCTGCAGAACTCAGAGCTGCACAACTCAGACCTGCACAA